CTCTCCATGGGTCCAATGTATATACAATATTGTATCATTACCAAACCTACATAACAGTGTCTCCAATCACCGTACCTGAGAAGGTACGACTGGATTTTATTAGGGATTGTATGATGACATACATGGGCATGGTTGACCTGGGGTTCCGTAGAGTGGTCATGCCAGTCCGGAGTGGTAATATACACGTAGACTGACTCTTGTAGGAATGGATTGTAAAAGCTCTTCAGGCCTGAAGGATTTGAAATATCATAAAACGTCTATTTTACACACCATCCATGGGACTGGAATATATGCCGCCCCATTGACCACTCCAACTACCCCAATGTAGTTATATACATAGGCACATAGATGGTCGAGGTATATTCATGGAAAATTCCGGATCCACGACACTCACGATTTTTTCTGACCAAAAAAAGGACGCTAAATATACTAAATGATGTTCTTGCCTGCTGTACTCATCAATCCCCTTTAAGTCAGACATAGTCAGACCGTTTTTCTTCGCTTCACTCTGCGACTGAGTCGCGACCCAGTGACCGGTCCACCGATGGACGCGATATAAAAGCTGCGTGGTGTCGCGCAGCGAGCTGGTGTCGCGCCCGCCCTGCTGGGGTTGGCCCCGTGCTTTCGATTTACGGATTGAGAGTAGATGGCACAGACCCCAAGATGTCCTTTAGATGGGGTCCATATAAACCACCTCTTGGGGTCTGTGCCATCTACTCTCAATCCACTATAAGGATTTTGCCAAGGAGCGATGTAGAAGGTCCGGTCGAAGCTGGCATCAAAGCCTTGGTCGGAAGGTCCGCTCGGAAGCTGCAACGGAAGGAGAGAACTGGGGTGTGGGCGTCGAACTAGCGGAGACTGGCCATGATTACCCATTGTAACAATAGACAGTAGTATTTACACAAACCCAAATACTGTTTCGTTTAAGACAAATTCTATAAAGATCTATAAAGTATGTTTTCATAGAGGTTATCCATGATTAACCCTATAAAGTCTATATATTATTAATCTAATATATTACTATGCATGCACAATGCACACATCCATTGCAAGTATATATATAAGATTATATAAGTATGCTCAACATAAGTCGCGGACAGCAAATCTATTGGACAATCCTACATGTTACATTATCCTACATTGGACAGCATACAAAAAGGGCTGCTGTTCCTTGTTAATCTTTCTTGATCAGGGATTTAGTCTGTTTCCACCCCGACTCTACTGCAAGCTCCCACTTTCTGTTTTGGTGCTGAAACATCCCACCTTCACCCCGGTTTTCACCCCAGAGCATGTTCCACCATCGGGCGCAGATTCTTCGTTCTTCGACGCGGTTTCCCGGTGCACTCACGTCGTCCCCTGGCGTTCTTTGTTGAAAGACCTGGACAAAGAACAAATAACCAGGGGACAAAAGAAAACACATCTTCACCAAGCAACTGCGTCGTCCCTGGTCTTCTTCCCTTGTAATCATCCGCAGTTGCTTGGTGGAGAAAAACAGGAAGAAAAAAATACCATACATGACATGAAAAGAACACACTGAATCACTTTGGCTGTGTGGATCAACATCTCCCCCGTCGCGCGGCGACGTCGGTCGCGCCATGTTGCGCCCTGTTTCGGTCTCCCCGGTGCCATGACCCACCCACAGCCACTTACTGGATGGGGTGGATCAGTCTCCCTAGGGCTCCAGTCCTACTTCCTCAGGTGGGACTGGGGGCCCGGGGGCCAGTCATACCGGTACCGCTTCGGAGCTACGACTTGGAGCCTAATGGGTCTACCGTCCTACCCGTCTACCGCAGACCTCTCACGGTCGACCGGTGACCGCAGGATCGGGTTTCTCAGTGCGGTGCCTGTATGATCGGGCCACTTGCCCTTTTTCCGGAGGATGAAGATGACCTTGGAGTGAGTCATCCAATCCAAAGCAAACTTAAGCAAACCAATGGAGTGGACCCTGAGTTCAAAGATCAAAAGAAGCTGACCCGGACGAGTTCTGGATGGTGCGGGTTGAATAATTTGGTGACGATAGTCCGATAGTTGTCCGAAAGCTTCGAACGTGTTTTTTTTGATGCCAATGGTTGGGTTTGTGACATTTTGTGACATCTGCCGAACAGGCCCGTGTGGGCACTATTCCACTGGAATGAAGTGCCGCTGGTCATCATCTGCCAAGATATATTGGGTGCTGGGCAAAAAGCTTCGGGAGAATTCCGTCAAATATATGATCGGTTCAATCCAAAAAGATCCAAAAAGCATGGAGACAAACGGCATGATCTGTTCACTGTTGTCCACCACTTCCGAAAGCGTCTGGGACCAGAACCAATGGTATCTCCGCACCCCATGGTATCGCCCATCCTTGGTCGATCCATCCGCCCGAATGCAGACCCGTTCACGCCCGCAGAGACGTAGAAAAGCATCAAATGCAGTGCGATGAAGGGTGCAAACCTGCGGACAAACAACCGTCGCGGTTTTGGTTACACGGCCTGCGGACCTTCTGTAGGCGTGCGTGGGTTATGAAGGCAGGCGGACTGTCCAGCGGACTGCGTGGCCACCGTCGTGTGGTTTTTTGTGAGGTGCAGAACTGTCTGCAGGACTGGATGCATCGGAAGGCTCTAATCGCTTTATAAGAGTCGGCTTGATAGGAAAAAGTGGTTTCTTGCGGAGTCTATCGGAAGCAGTCAATCTCCGGAGATGGAACACAACGTTGCACCCCGTGTGTTTCACGGGTGAAGGATTGGAGAAATGGGGGGAACGGAATTGGCCAAGACCACGAAAAACCCACGTCCGCGCCACGGCCACAGTCGTCCACATGTCAAAACCAAATTCCAGTCGTGAATCCTTGCGGTTGATTCGTGTCCCAAACCATTCCCAAACGCTCCACGGATAGAATATCATGGAATATATACAGTGCATGGGGTGGTTGACCGTACGGGGTCAATGGGGCAGCATATGCCAGTCTCTGGAATTCATGGCACATCATTCATCATTCAGGACACCCAACACCCCAAAGAGCAAACTCCTTGGGCCTATGGACGAAACTCCTTGGGCCTATGAACGAACGAGTGCAAAACAAAGACGAACACACATGGAAGCGGTTCCATGGAAGCGGCGCGAATCGTTCTTGGACCAGGGGCTTTCCGCAGCAGCAGGGCTCTGAGAAACAATGTGTTTCTCGTCAAGGTTTGTTCATAGGTTCAATACGGTTTAATATGTTCAAGGTTTATTCGAGGATCACTGGGAACAATCCATTCTACCCAAAGCAACAGCTTTTCCATGCTTGTCCTGTATAGATATTTTCCTTACTTGTAGGACTGGTGGTCCATTCCGCTCAAAAAGGCGTTCCCATCAGTTTGCTCGGCCCACCATGGCCACTCCAACCGCCCGTACCAGCCCACGGCACCGCCCGGTGGCGAGGCAGTGCAGCGGACAGGGCGGATCGGTGGGGCACCAAAGAGGCCATAAGAAGAAACCTGGTGGAGCCAGGCGGATCGTGGAGTACCGCGACGTACCGCGACGTACCGCGCCCCACGCGGAACGAGAAAGAGCGGAAAAAGCGTCTCGTCTCGTCACGGGCGGAACTCGAGGCCGGGGCGAGATGTCGTGCCATCCACAAAGGGTTGCGCGTGTCTAGTTGGGGGCGGATGGTGCCAACCGGCACCGGAGGAGGAGGGAGTCGAGTTTATTTGAGGTCCCTATAGCCGTACTTGAGGTGGAGTTAACCTGCAAACGTCGCACCTGCGGCAAACATCCCCACCTTCCAAAGGTCCACTGATCCAACTGAAGAAGCTGTGCAACTTGAAGACACCCCACAACTTGGATGATGCAATCGCACATGTCGTGAGGTTGAACACTCTCATCTGTCTTTTCCATACCAAAAACACCAGGGGGCGCCAAAAACCATTCAACAACCTGATGTTCCCTAGCAAAAAGCATTCTTCTTGTATGTGAAGAACCTGTATATTTCATGGTTTTGAGGGCCACTGAACCGCTGAACACATGCCTGGCACCGTCTCACCACCCGTCTCTCACCATCATCATCTCGTCGCCTTGTCGAAACCAACCCTGGAGTGCAACGACCATATGGAAAGGGCCTGAATTTATAAGACCTACGGCAAGAGATCTGACCAAGCAAAGGGAAACAAGAGATTCCAGCGAGTTCATCAGTGAAAAGTTGCATCAGAATCCATGAGGTGTCTTGCAAAGTCTGGAAGATGTTGGAACATGGTGAAGCTGTTCAAGGACCTCCGAAATCGCCCGTCACGACATGTCACAGTATGCTATCTGGAATAGGGGTCTGCCAAGTCACTTCCTTCCCCTATAGTATTGTTTGCCATCCTAATTGTCTTTAGCTTAATTTGTGTCCTTTGTATATAGTTTTTGAATATTGTAAGATGCTTGGTCAACTCTCTTCTACTGAGCCAAATTTGGCGGCTGTCCGACACACAGTTGACAACTCCTTTAGGCATTCTGAGAGCATCTGAAGTGATGCGAAATCACATTCACCATCCAACACGAAAAGCCTTGGACCTGCGCCTTGGAAAACTGAGACCGAGACCTGTTTAGGCATCCGTTGTTGGTTGGTTCGGGCCCGGTTCTCAAGTACTTGTCCAGCTGGTTGAAAGAAAACTAGACGTCCCTTTGGGTGATCTCAGAGCAACACATATTCCCGGATCTGCATAGTTTGGGCCATCAAACCTTAAACCATATGCCTTCCACGTGGAATTTGTTGTATTAGCTGCACTCTTCTGTTTTGTTGCCTCTCCCCCAACGTTCCTTCAGGGACAACGAAACGCCAGTGTCTATCAATCTTGAAAGATCAGTTTTAAATTCCCACAACCAAAAATAAGGGGACGGGCAAACTGCAATGCAACAACGTGTGAAAAACTCGTTACAATAGTTTTTTACAACCCGGCCTTTGGAATAAAACATTGACAGCCAGTCTCGAGTGTTCAATCCCATCCCATGCCATGAGCAGGGATGTGTTGTTGTCCACCACCCTCGAGGCACCGGGCCCCAAGTGTTTGATGAGTTCTCGGCCATGTTGTAGGCAACTGGAACCTAAGACCTCCCACAAAGGATGATGGCCACATCAAATCATAAAATGTTCCACCAAATAAAGGTGTGGCCATGCGCATCTGTTCATCTCTTGGGTTTGTTGGAACTGCGGAAAAATGAATGGCAATGATGTGCCCTATTGTGCCCTCCCTGAGGGTTTAGGTGTACCACTGGCCTAATGGACGCCAACATGATCAAAGACTTCTGTTTCCATTGAATCTGGGGGCGCGGCATGCACATCTAGGAATCATTGGGTGACTCGCTGTGATTGCGCTTGGGAATGCACGTTGCCAAACATCGTGGAAGTCAACCAACATCACCCCAACAAAAGCACGAAGGTGCACCCAGAGAGTGCATCGAAAACATGGGTTCCCGCAAGTTGGTTTCTGAGGTCTACAGATATCTACAGTACTCCTTTGGCTTCATGGCCACACGTGAGGTACAAGTCTTGTCAACCAGCTCAACACCATCAACATCAACTGTTGTTGTCAGCTATGACAGCTATGTGTTGATTCTGCCAGTGGCCAAGCTCAGCAGCGTCGCAGTCACCCCATCAAGCCACTCTTAGTGCATGCCTGCTCCCTGGTTTTGAGGTGCCACAAAGGGTAAGACACCACCTCAGATCCGGCCACCCACGTGCGAGTCCAATTGCAGCACACAAGCAGCCGGAACACGCGAGAAACAAAGATCTGGTTGACGCACGTGGAGACGCAGGCCAACTATAGGATTAGAAGTGAAGCACGCCGCACGCAACACATACTGTTCACGAGCTCCTTCGCCTGAACGTCGCGCGAAAGTCGCAGACAAAAGTTGCACGGCCGCGAAGTCAATGACAAACACAATGATATCTCCATCTCTGGAGGCAGGAGTTGCAACCTCAACCCCCCTGCGGCCCCTGCGTCTAATCAATCAGCCTGACTGGAGAACTCCTGTTCACCGCGCGTTGCAGGTCCGCATTCACTCTGTACTGTTGTACGGTCCTGTAAAGACTTCGGCTTCTTTGAGCATCCGAGCGGATATGACAGGGATTGCCTTTCCAAAGAAATAAGCCTTCAACATCCAACTGGAAGACAATAAGAAGTCCCAAGAAGCGTCCTGGAATGGACGATGGAGGCCAGCTCGCAATAATATTGAAAGTTTCATTGTGCGATTCCAAGAAGACTTTCTGAAAAAAAAGAATACATGCATGTACCTGGACCCTCATATGCATGTATCTGGACCCTCCTCCAAGGGGTGTCCAATGGACTACCCCACACTACCTATAGGCCTAGGCTTCCATTGGGCACCCCTTGGAGGGTCCTGGTATATCAATTTATACGTATGCCATGTGTATCTACTCAATGGCGGTCTGGATTCCTCCAAACGAAACATGATTTCTCGCCACCGTCTTGATCGATGCAATCCTCAGCTGGAACCTTTAGCAGCTTTAGCATTAGCGTCCAAACTGTTCTGGAAATAAGAGCCATAACATCGTTCTCCTCCAACCAATATGAGTTTACCGGGAACTGCCGTGTCGGAGTGCGTCCTGTGTCGGAAGTTGGGGGTGAACCATTCACTGGATGTGTCCCAAAAGCACCGACAGACATGGAACTCCAGGCAGTCTGTTTGAGTTGATGGTTTCTGCAGGTCTTTCAAATACAGAGAGACATTGTGAAGGAGGATTTTGCTAGGTATAGACGTGTATTATATATAATATATATATATATATATAGTGGGTTGAGAGTCGGTGGCACGAGGGACCCCCCAATGTCGGTGCTTCAAAGGATCCCCATCTTCGGGTGGCCCCATGCCCAGAGTCGGTCCGTCTCCTTCCGGCTCGAGGGTCCCAGCCTCCGACGCACTATAAGTTTATGTGTTTAAAGGTTGTTGTGTTGGGATTTCATTGGAATGGACTGGATGGGTGTTGGTGGGTGTTTCGGAGCCTGAAACGGAATTCTTAGAGTCGATCGAGGTCCTTTTTTGGAACGTTTTGGATTGTGTTGGACAGTCTCGATGTTCCTTGATTTTCTTGAAATAAACCATGATCAGCTACAGAACATCTCTGTTGATCAGTACAAGCGCTGAAGACTAGATTGAGCTTAATTGGGACATAAACAAACGGCAAACACCTTAGCAAGGGGTTCAGGCGTTCCTTGTGCCCCCTGTGCTCTATATCCTGTATCCTCACAGACTCTCCACTGGTTTCAGGTTTCTCATATTATCCGAACTTGTGTCCTGCACAGTCAACAGCCCAATGATGGTCAGAGTGAAGATCCCTGTACACTGTATTGTACCTCCCTAGCAAGGGCCCTTCAAAATTCCAGGGCCTCAACCTCTAAATCATGTTGTGTGAACACGCGTGAACGAGTATTCTCACACATGAAGTCCCCGCAATCACAAACACCCATTCTCTACATGATTTCTCAGAGTATGTGCCGTTTGGGTGTGTACTATAGACTAGGGAGACCTCCCAGCGTTCAGACCTCCCAGCTCAGGTGAGGCAACCAGTCGACCAGTCGACCCACTAATCAGTGAGTCTCAGACACGACTAATGGGACTGCCATATATGCCTGACCCCCAAACCACGCCAGGACCAGGAATGGCATATGTTCCATACATGGAGCCATCAAGCGCCAAGCGCGTCCAGGAATGAGATACACCCAAACGCTCCATGGCTAACGACCGTCGTCTTCGAACAGCGAACAGCTCCGCATCCGTCGTCTTCGACCAAAACACCGAAAGAGCCGCATCCACCGCGCAGCCGACCTCGGGGTCCGTCGGTCGCTTCCGGGAACCCGGCAATTAGAGACTTTCTCTTCAAGTGCCAGTCAAACATAGATAAAACATATAGTATATATATACCAAGAGACTAGTTCCAGACTGGAAGAGTACCACTTGCGACTGGATTGTCCTCATATATAGTATATCAATATATTATAATGTAAAACCCTCTCCAACCCCACGGGCCAAACTACCCAACTTCTACGGCCTCGACCGCCGAAGTTCCGGAGAAAAAGATCACGTGCGCGACGGGGCCGGCCCAGGGCCCTGGCCAAACAAACCCTTGTGAGGTCCAAGCCTCGAACAGCACAAAAAGCAGGCGAAGTGGCGAAGTGAAGGCGGTTCTTGACAGTAAAGTTCGGAGATGTTCAGGTTTGGGGCAAGCGAGTTTGGAGAACCTGAGGGGAGAAGAGTCGGTTCTTGCCATCTCCAAACCAAGCAAAATCAGCCAAGTTCTCGGGGCAAGCGAGGTTGGGAGATGGCAAGAACCCGACAAACTGCATGGCCACTTGCATGGCCATTTCAGTTTAGCCAAAGTAGTCCAAGGTCGCGTCTGGATAAGAATACACCTCCATAAGTTTATAACATGCAACTCAAAATTGAGGATGACTGGCGTTTGTATCATCAAACACTGAGGTTGATTGTTGCATATTGTTGCAACTTGTTCCATGCATTTAGTTGTGAAACACCAACAGTTGAGTGGCTTTAACATGGGCAAGGAATCAAGCCGAGGTCTTGTTCACGATTCACACCCCTGCGGTAACCCAACAAAACACCCTGCAGCATCCTACAGCCTATCATCTCGCGGCAGCTGAGAGTTTGGAAGGTGCCAGTGCCAGCCCATGTGATTTGATCTGGTGGTTCCAATATGCATATACCGTATACCAGTATATACTGTTTATTGCTGTATGCAAAAAATCCGAGGATCTGCACATGCTACACGCCATACACGGTGTCGGAGTGGGTTGCCGTTTGTCGTTGGCTGGCGGCTGATAGAACGCCGCCAGCTTTTCTTAACGTTTTTGCTTTTCAGTTGATGCTACGTTGGGGATGGGGGTGGGGAGGGGTGGGGCATGTTAACGTTCGGTGGCACTTACGTCATGAGTATGTTTAAATCTTTTGTGAACTTTCTTGCCCTTGGAAACACGGCCACTGTCGTGTGAGTGCACAGTCCACCAAGATTCATACATATTGAGCCACGTTTCAGGTTTAGTAACTAGAAGCTTCTAAGACAGTCTAGAAAGTTGCCTGTTACTACGAAGACAACAAAGACAGTCTAGTAAGCTTCTAGTTACTAGTAAGCTTATAAGACAGTCTAGAAAGACTTCTAGTATGATTATGGAGCAGATTTTAGAGTACGAGCTGAAAACGAGCTCCCAATTCTGAGTGCTCATATGAAAGGTGACAAAATGAAGTAGTTTGTCCGGACGTTCTGGGTCGTCCATTTTCACATGACAAGAATAATTCATTGTAAAAACCAACACGAAAACAACCTGTCATGATGATAAAACGAAGCGGCGTTCTATCAGCCGCCTACCTTGTAGTTAGTATATAGATGCAGTTGCAAATCCTAGTGTTCAATGCTTCAAAGTAATCGTTGAAACTTGTCGTGAACCATGAAGTACCTAAGGGGTCCAGCTGGGTTGCACTCTGGCCACCGAAGGGAGCCTGGGACTGGCAAGTTGTTTCAACTCCGCGTTATGTTTAGTAACGCAGCGCATATAGATTTGACGTGGAGCTGAAGTCTACCACCTCATCAGCTAAGTGAAGACAGATGCACATGTGTAGGCACTGTAGCCATTTTGGCTCAAGGTACACATTGGGCTCTTGCTGCAAAGCAGGCCTTTTTGCCTTACGACTCCAGGCCAACGTTCTTTTTCAAGTGTCTTTTCACTGTAGAAGATAGCAAATATTACTTATTAAGGGAGTCACCAAGGCTCGGAGTAGCCGAGCATGGATCGGGTGCGTCTTTGGATGTGGTGAGAGAGGTGCGGTCCAGAGTTTTAGTACTAAACTTTTCCCAAGTCTCGCAGGGTGCCCTATACGTGGTGAGTGTAACGGCCTATGTGAATAAGTCTGTCAGTTGGCAAGGTTTTGTAAACTTACCTGGCTAGGGTTGGGCGGAGATCCAGCAGCTCGCTCTCATAGGGTCGAGCAGTTCACTGCACTCTGAGGCCTGTAACGCCTTAGGAGTCTCCGATGGAGTCATCCATAGCAGAATTTCTTGAGAGGCAACTAGCTTGCGAGCTGTTGCATGGACACAACATGAGCCATGTGCATGCTGCACGCTGTTGAATAAAGAGGCCTGGGGAGTCAGGTTTTAGCGTGCTTCCTGAAAACCTGGCGCTTTTAACCATATATCCACGTGGTCCGCGAGAGCAGTCCTGCCAGAGAAACTCGCTATCCTTGGGCTTCATCGACAATTAAATAGCCTTCCCGGAAAGCATGTTTTTTTGCAAAACAAGGACTACTAGTATTTTCTTGCCAGCTATTCCTTGCCTCCGGCCCAGCTCAAGAACCGTAAACAAACCGTAGAAGGGACATTGTTTGGCGTAGAACGCACGTTTTTTGCCGTGGAAGAGGCATGGAACCTGGCCTCACACAGCATATATGAACAACCCGATCACGGGTCAATCGAGAGGAAGTGGATTTCACACACAAGAAACACACACACACTTTTCCGAAAAAAGTAAACGCTCTTGCAACAACGCATGTTTTTAACACATACTTTTGAAGCATTGGGTTATACAGATTAATAGTTTCACAGCAACCACGTGGCCCTGCTGAGTCTAACCAAAGCCATGCTCCAAATAGGCCGCATAGAGTGTTTTCAGTGTCGGAGCTTGATGGATGCCGGACACGGGTCCAGCGTCCACGGGGTCTGGCATGGATGCCGGTGCCATAGTCTGAGAGCCCACGCTTGGCCAGTGTTGATGAAGCTCTGCCTGGCAGCTGGGCACTCAAAAACCGCAGATGCGACTTCTCCACATTCTTTACCACAAGCATGTCTAGTAGTGTCTAGCTCCAACGCAAGCAAAGCTACACCTAGCTTTGCTCGACGGAACAACGCTGTTTGACTCAGAGTATTGGAAGGGAGCCGTGCTTTGGCACACAAGTCGATCTCCAAGATAGCATGTCCACTCCGCTTGGGATTGGAAAAGCGTTGACAAGCCTCGGTTTCTGGATTTGGGAGCAGGACAAGCTCAGTTTTCTCCTGCCAAACTCCTTGGACCCAACACCGAGTTACGGGTGACCAATCCCTTTCCAGTGGCCCAGAGTCGGAAGGGGTCAGGCACCAATGATGGCCACACTGAAGAACCAGAGCTGACTCCGTCATTTTCCCGGAAGATCTATAAAGGTGAACCAACATTTTCACCTGATCTTATCCCCCAAAAAAGGTGAAAGGCCAAAGGTTATTCAGGATATCCACGTTTGCTAAGGCGATGTCATCCCAACTGCCTGCGCTTGCCAGCTGCGTTTCACCACAAAGGGCGCTGCCATCACCTCACTTCGGGCGGGCGCTTAAACGAGATCCATCAGTGGAGCCTGGCCATCCCAAAAACGATCCTCTATGTTGCACGGGGAAATGAAAGAAGACTTGACATGATCTATTAAACAGTTTAAAGCAATAAAAACCCAAGAAATCGACTTCATGAACACGCTTTTGACTCTACAACCAACATAGCAATGGACTAGTTGAACTCTAATTCGCTTAGTGAACTAGCTAAGGCCTTGCATCCTGAGATTTTATGCGTCAACATACCTCAACCCCGACTGTTTTCGGACTGCAACCGGGTGTGGTTCTTCAAGCTACCCAGCATTTTGTCGGAAATATCATGGAAAATGGATGGATGATGGATGACCATGTTCCGAATACCAACCCGGTGGTTTCTCACTTCCATGATCAGGGATGGGTCAAAACCATGGAGCCCTGGTCAGCCATGTAGCGAACAACCGACACCAGGTAGGTCAACCGGTCGGTGTCCTGGCGCCTTGACCCACAGCCACTTCATTGTAAATCCATGTATAGTGGAGAGTAGAGGGCACATGATGGCACAAGCCCCAGGAGGCGGTTTAAAAACAAGAAAAGAAGAAAAATATATACATACACAATTTTATACTTATATACAGTATACATATATAATTGATATATATATATATAGTATTATACTATATAAATATACATACCTGAGAAAGGAGAGGACGAAAGCCAGCGAGAGACCAATATGGTAGTGCAAGACTGGGAGGAAAAAAGAAGTGTTGAATGTTTCAGGCTTTCTCGATTTTCCTGGCGCCGTGCTCTCTGGAGCGTCCCTGTTTGGTGGTCTATTTGAGAATCCGTGTAAAAATAAACGTCAGTGAAGACCGGGAGAAGGATGCCCGAAAGGTGGTTTTTGGTTGTTTTCAAATCTATTTCGGGCATCGTGCATCAATGCGAAGCCCTATAAAGAGCAGGGCTGGGAGAAAAAGAAGAGGAGAGCACTCATTCTTGAATGGTCCTTTCGCACCCCCTTAACTCACTTCGTTCGCTCTAAGAGCTCAAGCCTAGCCTATCGGCTGGCTCTCGTAATATATTCTATACGGACCCTCATCTAAAGGACATCTTGAGGTCTGTGCCCTCGAACCTCTGACACTGTAAATCCCATGTTTGGAGGTCGTGAGTCTCACTTGCTCCAACAGACCTGCAGGGACCTAGGGACTTATGATGCCGCAACAGTTCCAGATCTGCTCCAGAAAATGAAATGCCTGCAAAGGACCACATGAACACCCCAAAACAACTGGGTTAGTCAAGGAAAATGGTCTTCCAAGGTTCGATCCTCAGGGTCCATCGGGGGAGTCCAATACCTCGCTCCCCGCCACTCCCGGCCTCCTAGCTCCATGTGCTTGGGAGCTCCATTGCTCCGCCCCGCCCCACGCGTTTGGGTTCACGCAATCGCCGCGGGACAGGGGGGAGAGCGGGTCGCTTCGGTGCAAGCTTTCGGTGGGGAGGGGATCCGGGCGGCATGGTCGCCCAGGGAGGACTTCCTCCGGGAACTGAGCTCAAAAAGAGATAAAAAGACTCCCATCCCCCCAAAAAACTTCGGGAAACTAGGTTTTTGAGACGAGTTGGACTCGTGTCTGGACCATGTCCACCGAACGAATTGTCTGGACTCGTGTCTGTCTCACTTAGGTCTTATTGGTTGTGACTCATGCGAAAACCCACGGATGGGATCTCCACGGTTCTACGTGAAAGTTGAGACTGACCAGACCTGGCCAAGATTGTCTATCTTCGAGGCAGAGCTACGTTTCAGCTGGTTGTTTACGAGCATGGTGGGGTTTTACTCCGTGAGAATGGGGTGGGGTTTTACTCCATGCGATTGGCATTCCATTTTTGGATGAGAAATTGGGGCCCAGTGGGACGCATTTCAGACATCACCATCCAATGCATCTAGTTCAGTCGAGTCTCTAAAGCCCTTGAAATCATTGGGACTTCAGCAAACAACGGCTACCGGCCAAGCGTAGCGCATGAGAAAGTGCCAGTTTGACACTGCCCTACAAGGATGCAGGTTCAAAGGATGCAATTCTTGGGGGCAGCGGAGTCACTATAGCTAGCAAGTATCGCATGATGCCAGCATCAGTAGCTTGACACCCACCAAACATCTATACCAAATTGAGGTTCTTTTGAGAACTATCAGACTATCAGCATTTGAGATCACTGAATGCACATGTCCATCTTTCCTGGCCTGTGAAACAAATCAAAGACCGGTGAAAGATCAAGTTCGATTCGCACATGTTGGTGCCATCCATTCTTTGAAGAGCTACTCACAAAGCCCTTGTAGTTCTGGCGGCAAAGAAGGGGACTCTCTGCCTCTTACAGAACCCAGTCACTTTAGGTGGACCCAAAAAGAACGTCGTTCTTTGCCGCTTGCCAGGTACTTAGAGCTCCCAAACCAGGGAACATGTATGAAAACAATCAGGGGAACTTAGCTATATGTCTGTCAAATGACCGAGCTAGTTTGGAGTCTTTGGAGTAGCCCAAACCACTAGTAGTGTCAACCACTAGGGTTCAAAAAGGATCCAAATGTGAAGGCCTCTACTTCAGTGACCTCTCTTCACCTCGAAAAACCGCACCAAAATCAGCGAAAAAACCGCCCAAATCGAGGGTGGCTACCAGTTCCTCACCGAGCACACCTTGACCTGCACGTCGACCAACCGGGCGAGGGGGGACGAGGGGAGGGAGGGAGCAAGGAACTGCTTCGGAACTTGGCAACGAGCGGGTGGCTCTGGTAGGAGAAAGGGATTAATGTTTTTCATATTGCAAGAAAACATGAATAGTTCTGATCTGAAATAATGTGGTTTGGTCATGCTAGGTCCAACTTCTTTTATAAGGACAGGCGTGTACTGAAATCGTTGCTCTTGGAGTCTTGGATTGCAATCGTTGGATTCCTGAAATTCAACCTCTGAATACTACGCAATCATCTGGAGAACTTGTGGGTGTTCTCGGACTTCCCGAGCCAACTCAACCTGGATGTCCAGGAGATTCCAAAACATCACCCTGAGAGTCAAAGTTTGACTCATTTTACCCCCGATCTTGGTAGTATGACTCCCACCACCCGGTGCTTCGAGTCAAAAAATGAAACATGTGGGTGTTTTCAGGTCTGCGCATGTCCAAACCCTCTCAGTTGGCGCGGGTCATCTTAGGCGCAAACTGCGGGCGTTGCTTTGTCGGTTCAGCGCCGCTCTCTTCGACCAGGTGCCGGGGTTTGAAGAAGTGGAGTGTTTTGGGCGAAGAGTGTGAGTGTCAGGTCCCTAGCCTGTTGTTTTGTCAGCCGGGGGTGGTGCAGGGTGGGCGGTCAGCAAAGGAGATTCACCGGACAGTGGTGCGAGCAGCCCTGTCAAAGGGGCAACTGTCCTCGTCCTGACATCCCATGAAAATTTTTTGGGCAATTCATGGAAACACAATCCGCTGATGAGTGCAGCTTGCTCACAGCAAATGCTGGCATCGTGAGGAACAAATTTTACCAAAAACAAAAATGAAATTAAAAATGTCCAGAACACATGTTATTGAAACTGTAAAACCATTATATGCATTAGTATATTGTGTTTCATCTACATTATATAAACCCGTGTTTGTGAATTTCATTTATTGCACTTACAAAACGCATTTATATTTCCAGTTGATTGTTTCATGTTTACTTGCTTGAAAAATAACATAAGAATCCTTCTACTTCTGTAATACACTTCGTTGACTTTGTATTTGATGCAAAAATCTTAAATTTGCCACTCATCTCTTACACATTAATCTTTACATTCACAAAGTGCCGAACTGTTGCAATCCAGATCTGCAAAGTAGGCCCTTGCTTCGAGAGAGCCGCCAACAACTAGCAAATTTTTGCGAGCTGTGTAGAACTGCAAAAGTCCTCACGGACTTGGCAATGGACAAAATCTTAGCTCTTTCGATCCTCATGAGTTGCCCGTTGTCATCTCCGTGGGAGAAACGAAAGTCAGAGGAGCAACTACACTCAGCCGCAGAAGTCACGGCATAGTAGGAAAAAACTAGCGTTCCTGAATGGAAACGCAAAGCCAGGAGGGGGTCCCGGCATAGTCCTTGCAAACACAAGCTTCCCGCATGGAAACGCAATGATTTGGCAATGCTTTTCATGTGTTCTGAAGCCCCTTCCGAAGCAATATTGTCATGTATTCACAACGAGCTTCTGGCATGGAAACGCAATGACTTAGCAATGATGTTAATCAAGTCCCGATTGGCCGCCTTCGCCGTGGCGTTCATCGACTTGAACAACTCCAGGCCAGTGCGAAGCCATCGGGGCTGGAACAAAGGCCTCCGCCGACACGTGCATCTGCACGACCTCCACCTTCTTGCCAAGTCCTGTGGTCTTTGACCTGACAATGTCCCCAACCATGCCAATGCCCTCTTCATAGACCAGGGTCGGTGGTGGTAGACCTTCAGCATCGTGGGATCGTAGAGCCACCCAGACCTTGACCAATTTGAACCAAGCGTACACTCGCTTATATTTTGCCAAGCCACGCTCCATCACGGCGTACTCCCAGGCCCTGATCATCTCAATGGGGATCCGCTGCGCCTTGGCTTGCTAGTTTCCACCCGTCTCCAACTCCATGAGATAGTGGCGTACAGCCATCGACTCCGCATGAAGGTAACTCCAAAAGATCTGACACGGCTGAACGCCCGCTCGCGCGAACTTCCCCAGCGTGTACCACCACCGCCTGCAGCGCTTCAAGAGTGGTGCCGATCTCCGCATGATGCACAGCCAAGAGACTCTCGACAGTCACGATGCGCTCAGATCCCAGCCGCGTTCTCAAAGAGGGCAACCGCCTTGAAGATGCAGCCCGGCACTGACCTCCCACCGGTTCCTGCAGCCGCTGATCCAGGTCCTTGTGGTCCCTTGACATGTCTTTGGGCCAGGCTCTGGACACTTTACTTAACTCACACTTGCAAAGAGGTATCGGAACGAGGGTTAATGAGGCCAGAGCCCGCGCCATCAAGGAAAGCCCTCAGAATGAAAACCTCGTAAAACCTCTAGTTACCCCATCATGTGTATGCGCACACCCCTTTTTCTTTCTTTCTTTCTTTCTTGTCTCCCCGCTTGTCTGCTGTGATCGGCAGTTTGTCTGCCGCTGCTGCCCTGTCTCCTCCCCAAGCAAACGCGACCTCGCCACGACTTCCATACATTCAAGCCCCAATCGAAACGCTTCAAAAATAGAACATCGCCACGACTTCAACATTTGATTGTAGTAGGTGGGATATATAGGGGTCAAAGTGACATGTGTAGCAGAACTTTCACATGCACCAATATTGCATTGACTTATATGGGTATGTATTTGTTTAAGGTTCCCGGGCTGGGATGTTTGACTATGGGGTATGCTTCAGAGGTATGCTTCGGGGGTATGCTTCGGGGTATGCTTCGCGCAGTGTGAAGACTAAAGTAGTAGCATTTTCAGAGGGTATGCTTCAGGGTATGCTTCGGGGGTATGCTTCGGGGTATGCTTCGCCTAAGTCGAACATCCCAGCCCTACATAAACTGGACACCTTAAAAAAGACAAGCCCATATTATAATAGCAATATTCCACGACCAAAAGCATGATACAAGTCAAAGTCAAATGATGCACAAACCCATTCACCTTCCATCTTCTGCATCACCAATCAATCAAAAGTCACCTCCGTGAAAAGAGTAACATACCAGCAGGGAATTATGGTCTACGTCCACTTTTGCGCACCTCCCAACCCCCCGTAAAGACTCGCGTTCGTTCGCAAAGATCGCTGAAAATCCTATAGCCGAAACTCGGCCGGCTGGCTTTCGTAAATGTTCTAACTCCACCTACAACTTAATTATGGTTTGAATTCCAGAAGCCAAACCTATCAACATCTGGAATAATGTCTCTGCAGGGAACCCCTATAGCAAAGTGGCTTCCCCATGTTTCCCCATAATTAGTCGACATGTCACAAATCAATCTGAAAATACCAGGGCCCCCGTGTCGGGGTGTCCAATTACATAATGTCCTTAGAGGGTAAGGGATGTCCATTAACCACCCCAAACCGGGGGGCCCTGGTACCTGTCATTTGCCATCCTTGCTCTCATCCCTCCGCTTGGAGGAATGCAATGCAACGCGATTCCGTGCCTTGGTCCGCGATGCCTGGTCGACAAGCGTCGGCGGTGTGATGGCTACTAAGGGAATCACCAAACACTTGCTTGGATGTGCTTATGGAACCATGGAAAAAAAACACACAATTCCTCAGAAAGGGATGATAGAAGCATTGGGAAAAGAACAAATCATCTTAAGATTGTTCCGTTGGTGTCGTCAGTCCTTCACTGCTGGATGTAGCACTTCTGCGAAAAGATGGGTCCATCTCATGGGGGTATAGATGGGTATAACCACTCACGAACGACGTGGCGTGCAGTCATGCTACAGGGCCGCCCAAAGTTACTGTTTTGTGTGGGGAGAAGTGAACACGATGAAACATCCATGGAAGATTGGGAACT